TATTTAAATTCTTTAATGAAGAAAGTCTAACAACAGTATAAAGAATCTCAAAATTTTCTAGGGGGAGCTCAGAAGCTTCTAGGGGGAGCTCCGCTGCCCCAAGCTCCCCCGGTGGCTCCGCCACTATAATGTGGTCTATAAGTTAAACTGCTCTTCGTGTACAGCCACCTACATCGGAAAGACGCTCAGACAAGTTTCACGATGGCTGAAAGAGCACGGTGCTCCGCCACCAAAATCAGAAGAGCCTCCAGTAGTACCGAAACGATCAGCTCGCATCGCCGCAAAGAAACAGATTGTAAAACTTGACGTCGATTCAGATAGTGGTGAGGATAGGAATGGAGTACCCCCAGTATCAACTAAGGGTCATGGACAAACAGAGACTAGATCTGCTATCCATCGACATATAAATGACACTAAACATGCTATCGATTGGGTAAATGTGACTGTACTCAACAGAGACAGACACCCGTATCGTCTGCTGATTAAGGAATCTCTAGCTATCACTGAGCATGCTCCGAGTCTCAATGCGACTACTAGGTCAGTGCCACTACTAATCTACCCTGAGGGCTGCATCAGAAACAAACGAACTTTCGTTCCCCCTTGATTAACACGCTTCACCTTTCTGTGCTCTTATGTGTTTCTCACACTTGGATAATAGTAATCCTTCCTCTGTGCATAGTTTTATGTTACTTAGGAACAAATTAATAGAAAACCTTCATCATTATTTCAAGCATTACTTGAATATTATCGTCAACGCTTATTTTTATTACTTAAACAAAGTAATATCATATGCAGACAAAATTTGTATGAATCAGCATTAAACAATGTAGCCGAGCATGGTTGGTTAACAGGTGTAGAAGTAATTAAACGAAAAACAACACCATATGCTTATGAAAAATTATTAAAAAATATTCATTCTTATCAGCTACCACAACAAACACAAGAAAGAAAAGAACATATCAAAGATCATGATACACCATTAATCAACATGCAATTGGAATTAATTTCAACCGAAAAATCTACGATATACACTGATAATTCCGAAAAAAAATGTAAATAATATATAAATTCTTTTTTCTCAACAAAACACAAAAACACAATAAAAAAATACACATTGAAGGATAACATCGAGTCATTGCACAACTTCAATCATTGTGCAGAATATAGGAAAGAACAGCGAAATTGATTTTTGCAGTTCGTCTGCAA